TTCTAGATAACATGAGTATAATAAATATATCATTTGACAACCAATTAAATTTCATGTTAAAACAAAAAAAAATATGTATTATTAAATTTTATATTTTTATGTATGATAGTATCCATCTTTATCTAAATTAACTATTCTTACTACTAAGATAATGATTTTTATTTATAGGTATTTTAAAAAAACTTATTATTTTATTAATGATATAAAAAAAAATATTTGCTTTTTATTAATATCTGTAAATAAAAGACTTTCTTGCTACTTCTTTTTATGGAAACATAAACAAAAAGTAATCAATATCAAATGAAGAAGTCTAAAAGGAGTGCAAGTCACGGCAAACGAAGAAGAAGAAGCTGCTAGGAAAACCGGGACTTGGGTTTTGAAAATAGAAGGACATGACAAACATAACTCACGCCTAATTTGGTGCTCCTGTAACGTGGCTTGTTACCTTCTTTCCCGATCTTCATTGTATCCACGTTTGTGTCGGATTTGTATACTAAAATATACAAGCGGTTTTGCCAAAACAACTTTGACCCCTGAGGGAACTTTCTTGCCCTATTTAGAGAGCCACTTCTAATCGCTTATCGACAAGAAAAATACAATGGCTTTGTTTCTCGCTCTATGCTTTGCAATCATTCTCTCATTTTGCCATGGCTCAGCTCATGCTGCTATCCCACCCCGTCCTCTTGATGGTAAACATTCACCTTTCTAGATTACTCGTTTATGTTCAATATTTCTCATGTGATCTTTCAGAGGAAATAGTGCTAGTTCTAACACTTGCCTAGCTAAGGCTAATGTTCCAAATTAAAAAGGTTAAATGGGGGGTGGGCTGTGTGTGTGTGTAGCTGCTTCTTGACATTTATTGACATGGGCAAATCTTTGCAGGACTTGTTGAAAATGGGAACTTTGAGCAAGCACCAGCAAAATCAAATCTCAAGAAAAGAGCAATAATAGGAAAATACTCGCTCCCGAAATGGGAAATCAATGGCATAGTAGAATATGTCTCAGGCGGGCCACAACCAGGTGGCTTCTACCTTGCCATTCCTCGTGGGGTCCATGCAGTGAGGCTAGGCAATGAGGCATCTATCTCTCAAACTCTTACTGTCAAACCAGGCTCAATTTATGCACTCACGTTTGGAGCCACTAGAACCTGTGCTCAAGATGAGGTGCTAAGAGTCTCGGTCCCTGGCCAGTCAAGTGACCTTCCTATTCAAACCCTGTATAGCAGCAATGGGGGTGACACTTATGCCTGGGCTTGGAAGGCTACCTCTAAAGCTGTCAAGGTCACATTTCATAACCCTGGCATCCAAGAAGACCCCACTTGCGGACCTCTTTTGGATGCTATTGCAATCAAGGAGACGTTACCTCTAAAGTATAGTAAAGGTAAAGTCCTGAATTTTTTTTCTCAGGATCCTTTATAATAGCTGAAGCTTATGTAGGTTCCTGTGCTCTGTAGACAACCTAATCCAATTTTTGTTTTTTATTTTATTTTTTAAATTTCTTTCTATACAGGCAACCTAGTGAAAAATGGTGTCTTTGAAGTTGGTCCGCATGTGTTCAAGAACTTCTCAACTGGGATCCTGCTCCCTCCCAAGCAACAAGATCTAATTTCACCACTCCCTGGCTGGATCATTGAATCCCTCAAACCAGTAAAATACATCGACAGCAAGCACTTCTTTGTCCCCACCGGATTTGCAGCGATTGAAATGGTAGCAGGGAGAGAGAGTGCCATAGCCCAAATCATCAGGACAATCCCTAACAAATTCTACAACCTCTCATTCACAATCGGAGATGCAAAGAACGCTTGCCATGGGTCAATGATGGTTGAGGCATTTGCTGGCAGGGAAACTCTCAAAGTTCCCTACGTTTCACGGGGAAAAGGTGGATACAAGACTGCAACTTTGAGGTTCAAAGCAATTTCATCCAGGACGAGGATTACATTTTACAGTGGATATTATCACACCAAGTTACATGATTATGGTCACATGTGTGGCCCTGTCTTGGATGATGTGAGGGTGTTTCCTACTTATTAATAAGGAGAGATTCGTTTGATGTTACCAAATGCATGTGTCATAAGTAATTTTTGATATAATTAAAGTCTTGCGATTGTCTCTTGACAAAAAATCTGTAACACTGAAATGGGTGCTTGAAACTTCTGAAACCGATGCAGATAAAAGACAAACTTCAGTCATTTTACTCTCAATGTTTCTCACCTTTTTTTCTTGTTTGATTTCGTTCCTTCGAATGTTTCTATTTGTACTTGTTTTCCAATCTGTGAAGGTACGATATAAATTCACATATTTTATGACAGAGCTTATTTCAAACTGCCTTTATTGTCTGCCAGCATATGCCCGAGGAATTTCACTTTATTTTTTCTTCGGAATCACTTCTCGAAGAATCAAACTCAAGCAGCCTGGCTCACCTGTCGTGAGATCCATGCACGAGGCTCATTTATGGAGGAATGCGAAATAGCTAAGGAATCCTCATCCATCAGCAATTTCTAGCCATTTTGGATCGCTACCCTCCTGACCGTTTGAGATCGAATCTAATTTTCTGCTGGGAAATCATCAATAAAATTCAAACTCGATTGGAGAGTTAAATAAAAAATTATAACTATTTTGGGTTAGACAACTTGATTAAATAATTTATTTAATCATCTTCATTTATCAATCTAATATATAAAATTCTGACTAATTGTTACACACTACTTTATGCCATAAGATTTTTTTTTATTTAAATGATCTAAGAGACAAATTAGAAACTTTCTTCCACTGTAACTTTGTTATTTTGATACTTCCCTTTTACTAACTATACCCTTTAGTAAGCTTTTGGCCATTTGCCAGCAACATGGAATCATGTACAGTGCAGTTTGCATGCAATAATGTACAGAGGACACCTTTTACCAAGAGCTTATCCGCATCTTCTCGCTGTTGTGTAAATCGTACCTTGTTTGGATAAATCGGTCAATTAACATAAAAAAATATAATTAAATACTGAAATAATATAAAATGAATTTTTTTGGTAAAATAATGCAATTTCAAAATATCACCATTTAGAAATATAATATTTTAATAATATCATAATTAAAAAAGATAATATTTGAAACATGTCAAGTTTCAAAACCGTCGTATTTTCTTGATATTTGATATTTTGACTACTATAAGGTTTTGAGTCATTTTCGTGTTTTAAGTCTGAAAATTTATATAAAATCATAATTTTTATTAATCTTAAATCTTATTTATTTTATGATTTTAAAAAGTTAAAGTATTTATAATTTTATCAAAATTTAGATAAAGTTTTTTCTATATAAAAACTATATCTAAAATTTTGTCTTGCTTAAAAAAATATGCAAAAAAAATATAATAAATACAATTAATAAATTCTATCTAAACTCAACATATTATTATATTTTATAATCACAAGTAGCCTTAGGAATACATGCACCCACACACCCAAAACAAATATAAAATAATTCAATAATACAATATTTAAGTAATCTTAAAATATATAAATATAAGTCATATATTTATTTACATTTACGTCGTATGTTGGATAATTTGAGCTTATCAGTAGTACTCCTGCTTGAGTTTTCTCATTCTTTATCACAACAACATTTAGAATTCATTTATTTTAAAAAATTTTAAGTTCAGTATGACAAATATTTAACGTTCTAGATGTTATGGTGTGAATTTCACTTTTTTTATCAGTGCCACAAAGATTAAAATCAGCTTTATAATTATACCATAGCAAAAAACCAACCTAATATTAATAAAATATTAATTTTAAATTAATGTAATGCTTTCGAAACGTATTATATAATTTTCATGATTCAAAAACATAAATAACATATGCTTCAAAAACATGATAATGTCAAACTATATCCAGTTATTTTTTTTTCCGGTTTTCTCGTTTTTCTCAGTTTATCGATTTTTTTCTCACCCCTACCTTTTGGTAAGCTTCTGGTCATTTGCCAACAACATGGAATCATGCACAGTGCAATTTGCATGCAATAATGTACAGAGGACACCTTTTACCAAGAGCTTATCCGCATCTTCTCGCTGTTGTGTAAATCGTACCTTGTTTGGATAAATCGGTCAATTAACATAAAAAAATATAATTAAATACTGAAATAATATAAAATGAATTTTTTTAGGTAAAATAATGCAATTTCAAAATATTACCATTCAGAAATATAATATTTTAATAATATCATAATTGAAAAACATGATGTTTGATACATAGTCAAGTTTCAGAATCATGATATTTTCTTAATATTTAATGTTTTGGCTTCCGTAAGGTTTTGAGTTATTTTCGTATTTTAAGTTTGAAAAAATTTATAAAATTATAATTTTTATTAATTTAAAATTTTATTTATTTTATGATTTTAAAAAGTTAAAATATTTATAATTTTATCAAAATTTAGATAAAGTTTTTTCTATATAAAAACTATATCTAAAATTTTGTCTTGCTTAAAAAAATATGCAAAAAAAATATAATAAATACAATTAATAAATTCTATCTAAACTCAACATATTATTATATTTTATAATCACAAGTAGCCTTAGGAATACATGCACCCACACACCCAAAACAAATATAAAATAATTCAATAATACAATATTTAAGTAACTTAAAATATATAAATATAAATCATATATTTATCTACATTTACATCGTATGTTGGATGATTTGAGCTTATCAGTAATGTGATTAAATCCAACTCTTGCTCCTGCTTGAGTTTTCTCATTTTTTATCATGATATCATCTAGAGTTTGTTTATTTTAAAAAAATTTAAATTTAGTATGACAAATATTTAACCCCCTGTATTTTATGATGTGA